ATTGTGCCCAGTATCAGGCTAAACATGTTTTAATCACATGTTTTTAGATTGGCTACTCTCCACAGGATTGTGCAGGGGCATCCCCTTTGGGGGGTGATTTCTTACTTTCCCTCTCACTGTCTCTCTCAGGGAGTGCAAGCACCCTGTGATAAAAACCTAAAATGAAAGAGTCAGGCTTGGTGGTCCACACCTATAGTTCCAGCTAGGCTGAAACAGGAGAATCATGACATGGACAGACCTTGTCTTAACAACAAAAACTGCTTCAACTTTAAAAAAAAATTGTCAGAGGACATATTTACTTTCCAGAGAGAAATAGAAAGAGAGGGAATTTTTTGCACCCCTCAATGGGACACAGTCAGGTCATAATCCCTTCTCCATTTCTCTATTTTGTCAGGATGTAGGGCACACACATACACACACACACACACACACACACACACACACGTGCCTGGTATATTTTTCAAGCCACTGTAGGGTCAGTCACGTAAGACCTAGCTGGCTTGAGCACCAAGCTAAGGACCAGCTACCTCTTTTAACTTTTTAATGTGACTACTAGAACATTAAAAATGTTATATGTGGAGACCAGCAGTTGGTGTAATGGCTATGTCACTGGACTCCCATGTAGTCGACTATGGTTCAAGTCCTGGACCCAGTGGTTTAAACTCACACCAGGCACAAGTGAGTGCATGCCCAAGATCTTGAGAGGAGAATGGAGGAAAAGGGATTGCTGCTTGGCCATCCCCCCTGGGAGGTGATTTCTTGCTTTCTGTCTCTCTGTCTCTCTCTGTCTTGCTGGCGAGTGCATGTGCCCTATAGCAAAAACCTTTCAAAAAATGTTATATGTGGCTATCATATTTGTGTAGAACAGCACTGATCTAAACCATGAACATTAATGGCCACTAGACTAATGATTTCCCAATATTTGTGATAAATTTTTCTGGAGCACAGCTCTTTAACTTGTATATTTTTATTTATTTATAAATTTATGAACAGTAGGGCCAGCAGATGGCATAGTGGTTAGGGTGCTGGACTCCCACATGGCTGACTGCAGTTCAAGTACTGGACCTGGTGGCTTGTTTTCTCATTCCCCTACCCCCACCCCCACATAAGCACGCATGCCCTTTGGCAAATTTAAGAATGATAATAAGTAAAATTAAACAATAATTCTAAAAAAGTGTAAACATTGTAAAACACTGAAGAAAATGGACGTTTTAAAAAGAGAAAATAAAAAATAAATGGAAATCAAGGTTGTACTAATTTGTCCCAGGAGACCAATGGATCATTTCTTACACCTCTTGGAATGTGCACACACAGTTTTGGAAAAGCTTGTTCCAGACAGACTTAGAGCTCCTGGAAGGCAAAGACTTTAACACATATATCTTCCCTTCCCCATAGTTGAAGCCAGCACCATATCTAAATACAATTAGTGTCCAATAAATATTTGTGGAAGGAATAAATAACTGAATATGCAATCATTTTCTCTAGATCAGATTAATTTATTTGTTTTATATGTTTCAAGTACTTTCTCTGTGCTAGATACTGTATTAGGTGCTGAAAAGTGAACAAAATTTTAAGAGACTAAGCCCTGGGGCCTGCAGGTGGCATGGTGGTTAAGGCTCTGGATTCTCACACGGTAGAGCACCGTTTGAGTCCTGGATGGGCGGCTTGAAAATCATGCTGGGTGTGTGTATGTATCATCTCATTTAATCCTCATTATCTACTTGGTGAGGCACATATTTCAACTGAGGTGACTGAGACTGAGAAAGATCAGCTCAATTGTCTAAGTCATAGAGTTAGTAAATAGTAGCTCTTGGATTTGTACCTACTCTACACACAGTAACTCATGCAAACCTGTAGAGGAGTGGAGGGTGGATAGGAAGTGTTTGGGCTGAAGATATGCATGAGGCTTGGAGGCAACAAGACATGTGAGGAACTGAAAAAAAGTTCACGATGTCTGAGTGCAAAGGATAAAGGTGAGAGAGAAGGCCTGAGAAGTAGGCAGGACTCATATCATGCCAGGCCAGCTAGGCTTATTGACTTACTCAGGGGTAGAGGCACAATCAGATCTGTAGTTTTAAAAGTTTACTATGCCCCAAGCAGTGGATAGGTGAAAGGAGAGGTGATCTGTAGGCAGGAAGATGCATTAAAGATGCTAATGATGTCAACTGAGTAATGCTATGGTGACTAGGAAAAGAGGGGGGTTATTTTAAAGTGTTTAAGACTTTATAATTCTTGTAAGCCAGGAATGAACATGCAAAAGAGAAATAAAAGATTATCTCCAACAAGTATGGTGGTTAAGGTGATGGATTTCCACATGGTCGACTGTGGTTCAAGCCCTGGATCTAGCGGTTTGCTTTCTTACTTTCTCTGTCTCTCTCATCAAGATAAAAATAAAGGGCTGGCAGGTGGCATAGTGGTTAAGGGCACTGGACTCCTTCATGACTGACTGTGGTTCGAGACTCAGACCAGGTGGCTTGCTTTCTCACTTTCTCTCTCTCTCTCTCACTCTGGCCCTCTCTGGTCAAATTTAAATAAATAAATAAAGTTAAATAAAATAGTTCTCTAATATATATATATATGTATATATATATATATATATATATACAAAAAAATAAATATATAAAAGAGATATATAAAATCCTGAGAGGAGAATGGAAGAGAAGGGATTGTGGTGTGGCCATCCCCCTTGGGGGGTGATTTCTCACTTTCTGTCTCTCTAGAAAGCACATGCACCCTATAGTAAAAAAAAACAAAAAAACAAAAAAACCAAAAAAAACAACCTCTTTAAATTATTTATTTATTATTGTTGTTAGTATTTTTAATTTGCTATAGGGTATGTGAGCTCATGAGAGAGAGAGAGAGACAGCAAAAGAGAAAGTGAAAAGCAAGTTGCTGAGTCTGGGACTCAAACCACCATCAGCCATGTGGAAGTCCAGAGCCTCAACTACCACAATATCTGTTGGCCCCCCAAATAAATAATTCTTTAAAAAAATGATCTCCTGGGACCAGCAGTTAGCATAATGGCTATGTCGCTGGGCTCCCATGTAGTAGACTGTGGCTCAAGTCCCGGACGTGGTGGCTTAAACTCACACTGGGCATGTGTGCGTGTGTGCCCAAGATCCCGAGAGGAGAATGGAGGAGAAGGGATTGTGGCATGGCTATCCCCCCTGGGAGGTGATTTCTCACTTTCTGTCTCTTTGTCTCTTGCCCCTATAAAAACATACTCTCAAAAAAAAAAAAAAAAAAAAAAAAAAAAAAAAAAAAAAAAGACCTCTAAGTTTCCAAGTACAGATCTTTCTAACTCACCAAGATTTAATTTGGAATATTTTGACTTTACAATGGGTTTATGTAGGTAATTGCATCTTAAATCCAAGAGCATCTGTACATAATTTTAGTAAGGCTAAGATTTTTAAAAAAGAATTATTTATTTCTTTAACTTTGTCTGTTATTATCATTTTTAATTGAATAGAGAGCAACAGAGAGAAAGGGGAAGTAAGAAAGTAAGCCACCTGGTCCAGGGCTGGAACTGTGTTTGGCCATGTGGGAGTCCAGCACCCCAAGCACCATACTACCTGCTGGCCCCAGTAAGGGTAAGAGTCTACAAGATTATTTTTTCACATTTTAAAAGAGTATGACCAGCCATGGCCTGATGGTTAAGGTGGCTGGATTCTACATGGCTGACTCCAATGTTCCAGTGTCAGCATGGTGGCTTGAGAAACATACAGGATGTGTGTGCATGCATGCACTAAATCCTGACAGGATGGAGGCAAGACTGAGACATGGCCATGTCCCATGGTGGGGGTGCTTTCTCTCTTTCTCTATGTCTCTATCCAGTTCAACCTCTGGCAAAACTTTTTTTAAAATTGTGAACAAAACATGTTATTTTAGTAAGATTTCAATGGCCAGAATTTACTTGATTAGAAAATACTCAGAACATTACAATTATTTTGCAGTTAAGTTCACTTTTGTTTTGTTTTGTTTTGTTTTAATTTGTATCAACAGCTTATCCTCTATTGAGAGGAAGTTATGAATACTGGAGATAATGCCTCTTTTTGCTAAGATAAGGATTAACCATGGAGGACCAGCTATAGGCTGTGGACTGTCTATCGAGTTTTTCTATACTGCCTTCTTGTTGAATAATCTTGGACCTTAAGTTTCTCAAGCTTAACAACCTTTTTTCCGTCCCCTTAGTTTTTTTATACCTTACCCCTTAAAAGAGGGAGTAGGTGGTTCCTGTCAATGGACCCGCTATGATTTGGACTCCACCTTCTTCGTCTCGTTCCCGCCCCCTTTTAGACCACACCTCTTTAGCCTGACCCCGCCCCTTGGCGAGGTCGTCTCCGATATGACAGCGAATTCTCCGTAATCCTGCCCTATAAGAGATCTGAAGGGCGGGACCTAGATCAGTCTTTTTTTCCATTTGTCAAATCAACTGTCTATCTGACCTCAGTTCCAGCCCACTTCGTCTTCAACTCAAGGATTGGTTGCTCTGTTCTTTGTGTCTGGCTCACGATTGGTTCTTTTGTTCCGCCCCTCTCTTCCAGTTTTTGCAGGCGGGATTAGGACGCAGCTTCCTGCTCCTGCCAAAAAAATAAAAGAAGAAAAAGAAAAGGGGAGAGAGGCGAAAGAAAAATGTCACGGAGATCTTTGCTTCTTAATTGGCTTTCAGCCTTGTCGGTCAGGTCAAAATTTGCATTTTGATTGGTCTTTCTATCTGCCCATCCCGGTTCGGGGGCGGGATTTCCCCAGGAGACCCACACCTTGTTGCCACTGGCCGACTAGTGCGCCTGTCTGAAGCTCACGGCCCAGGATTGGAGGTGGACGCGGACAGGTGGGCGTGGATTGGCTAGAGCAGCCGGTCAGTGTGAGGCGGGGGCGGGGCCTCAGCGGCTGGTTGCGCGTGTCCGCTGCTGGCTCCGCTCTATCCGGCTTTGCTAGGGGAGGTGAGTCCGGCCGCGGCGGCACCGGCTGGCGAGGAGGCGGCGGGCTTTTTTGGGACCCACCCGCTCTCCCCCCCAACCCTTCTCAGCAGAAGCAGCCGGCGGCGGGGGCAGGAGTCAGCCCTCTTCCGACCGTACCCCGCCCGCCTCCCGGGGCTCCTATTCTTTGGCCCCGGGACCCTAACCTCCTCCTGGGGCGGTTCCCTCTGTCTGGGCGTCCGAGTGCTGCCCTCCTCTCTTTCATTCCTCTCTGCACCTCCTTACCTTCACTTTTGCACTGGTTCTCTTTCTCCTCTCTGTGCAGCCTATCGCCTCTTCTCCCCACTCGACCCCTCCAGGCTCCTTCCCTGGCTCATTCTGCCCAGGAAAGTTTAGTATCCCCTCCCCCCTCCATCCCCCAATCAGGTCAACCTGACTAGGAGTAGGGGGAGATGTAGGAAGGCCTGAGAGTTCGAGGTGGGGGGAAGCTGGAAGCTGATTTCCTTGAAAATTTCCACCCATCTTTTGAATTTAGGGTAGTTGAAATTTTTAAAAATTGTGTTTTTGAGGAGGTGGTAGGTGTTTAGAAAAGGATGTGGGAATGGAAGGGGTAGATGAGTCAACCCTCTTACAAGATTCCAAGGGTGGTGTGTTACCTGATCCTTTTCGTGTGTGGAGTTCAGGGGGTCGGGAGGTTTGGCCTTTATTCCCACATTCAAAGTTGGAGCCTCCCCCAAATTAAGAATGGAGTTTTAGTACCCACTTGTGGCAGGAATCCTGGGGGGAAGGGGTCCTTTTTTCCTTTTTCTTTTCTTTTTCCTTTTCCCCCCCTTTTTTCTTTATTTTATTTTATTTTTGGCAACCCACACCCTTCCACACACACTCACCCAAAAACTAAACACCAAGATCCTCTAACTTGTTTGGATTGACTGATGAAGACATAAAGCCAGTTACGCTCTATGTTTTTTGAGGTGGAGTGAGTGGTTTTTCTTCATTTTTAAATGGCCAAATGACAGCTTGACCCAGTTTGCTTTCCAATCAAAGGGCATTTTTTTTGAATGTCTCTTTGTGGCGCAAGAGCCAACGCAAAAATGATGGCGGCTTACAATGGCGGTACATCTGCAGCAGCAGCAGGTCACCACCACCACCATCATCACCACCTTCCACACCTCCCTCCTCCTCACCTTCACCACCACCACCACCCTCAACACCATCTTCATCCGGGGTCGGCTGCTGCTGTACACCCTGTACAGCCGCATACTTCTTACGCC